ATAGTCGGGGGGAAGAACGGGGCGATTTTGGCCCTGGACACTGCGGAGGTTAGTGCTTTGGGGCATTATACTACTTATCCGACGGAGGAGAGTACCGTCGCGTTGGAGATTGCGTTGGAGGAGATTCCTGGGCATAGGGTTTTGCATTCGGGGGCTTGTGGGGTGGGGGAGTTGTTGTAATTTCTTGTTGTTTTGATTTGTAGGGGTTATTTGATGGTAGTGGATAGATACTAGATAGATGGTATGGTATGTTTGTTTGTGCTGGGTTATGTAGGATAATTGTTGTGGGGATGGGGTGGTGATTTGTGTTGTTGTATATAGTTGTTACTAGTATCACGCACGGTAACTATATAGAACCGTAGGTAACTTTATGAAAATGTCAAATGTCTTTGGATTGTCCTCTTCACGCTCCCTCCTGGACCACTATGATGGGCGGTATCTGGGTAATACTAGTATATGTAATCGAGTTTATATACTGTTTGCTACTAGCAATTACTGCACTACACCAATGGAATCAAATGAATCATAATATATATTCATAGTACTCCGCTCCTTAGCCCCTCCCCTTCCAAAGTCTAACAATGATGCATGTTATAATGAAACAAGAAGATGATAAGATAGATATAACCAAACAAACATAGACAAAAATATGAAAAATCCTTTGGGCCTTGTTCCTTGTCCTTTCTCTGACTTTTGGTGGGAGGATAGTAGTGGTAGTGGTAGTGGTTGTGGTAAAAAGAAATAGTAGTATAAATCAAGACCATCATCCGGGGACACACAGTGCTGATGAACAGGGTATAAGATCTACAGGGGAGGTCGAGGAATTCGGGTTCTCATCAATCAATCAATCAATCGACGATTGCATCTATTTTCTGCCCTTGTTCTTCCCCTTTCCTCGGCCTCCGCCGCTCAGTCGGGCCTTCTTGGACGGTGGCGGCTTCGAGGTCGACAGTGTTTGCTCGTCCTCCGACTCGTCTTCCGTGTCCGCAATGAAGTCTACCATCGATCCGACACTCTCTGCGTCCTCGTCGTCCTCGTCTTCATCTTCCTCTAGGGACTCCTCGGCGTCGGAGGATCCGGCGGACTCTTCCGCCTCCACATCAAGGATGTTCTCGTCCTCTTCTTCTTCCTCTTCGCTACCATCGTCTTCCTCGTCCTCGGACTCGTCGCCGGTCTGGACACCGTTCATCATAGACTCCTCTTCGTCGAAGGCCTGGTCGCGTATCGACTTCCGCGGGGTGGCCATGTTCTTGGCGTCGACGTCGCTGTCCTCGTCCTCGTCCTCTTCCTGACCCTCCACGTAGATGATGTTTTCTTCATCTTCGCTCTCCATGGCCTCTTCACCGCTACGGATCGACCGACGCAGGCCAAGCTGTGCGTCCAACATGTCCAGCTTGCCCTTGAGCAAAAGCAGAGAAGGAAGGCTGGAGGAGCGCTGCTCCATGACCTTGAAGAGGGTGGACATCCGCTTCAGAAGCTCGGGCTTGCCGGCGAGAGCACCGCCGTGGGCGACACAAGTCCATTGCACCCACACGAGTAGGTGGCCATAGCGACCCGGCCGAGTGGAGAGGCGCTCTGCGAGTTTCTGGAGTAGGGTCGCTGCGAGAGAGGAATCGAGACGCTGGATAGTGGTGCGGATGATGGAAAGTTCGCCAGTGTGGAAGCAGGACTCGAGCATGGCGTTGTCGTTGGTTTTAAGGGACTGGGTGAGAACGGTGGAAAGGGACACTCCCGTGGGAATCTGCTGCACGGCTGCGCTGGGCTTGCCTGGAACAAGCGATCCCATATGAACGTCGTCCTCAAGCTCAGCCTCCACGTCGACCTCCTGGTTAGCGCGCATGAGCTCTCCGAAAGACGGCTCGCCTGTCTCATCTTCTTCTTCCTCCTCCGAGCCAGATTCCTGTGCATTGCCCATCTCGACATCGCTGTCCGCGTCAGTCTTCTTCTGCAACTGCTTGGACTCGTTCTTTTGCTTGGGTTCCGCCTCCTCGTCGTCCGACTCCTCGTCGCTGCCAGCTACAGAAGCAGCATCCTTGGAATCTTGCATCTCGATATCGTCTTCAATAACATTTCCCTGTTCCACAACTGCCTTGGACTCGTCGACTTGGTTCTCGTTAGCGGCTCTCGTTCCGTTCGTCGTGACCGATCCCAGAACCGAACCAGACTTGGACTTGGCGATATGCTTGGTGCCCGTAAAAAGCAAGTCGTCCGTCTCTTCGTTGAGCCACTTGATCCGCTCGAAAACCGGAACCACGCCGCCCTCGGCCCAAGCGACAACCAAATCCGGACCTTCGAACGAAGCGGCCACCATGGAAACCAGGGCATTGGACGTTGCGGACACAGTCACCTTGATCTGAGAATCAGCTCTCCGGATAGCCTGCTTCGATCTGGCTTTGAGGCTAGCGGCGCCCTTAGCAGTAGACTGATCGTTCGGCAGCACGAATGGCCGAGTGAAGAGTTCGATGGTGCCATCCTCGGTGACCGCAGCGATGACCTGCTTCTCTGCCGGCAGAGTAGAACCCTTGCGTTCCGCACCGGTGTACAGAGACACTGATGATACACCATTCTCGGCCACGAGGTTCAGGGCAAGCTTTCTTTTCTCAACATCGAAAACAGTGATGTAACGGTCGCCATCGGCAGCGAGGAAGAGTCCAGAAGCGGCAGAATCCGTAGAAGAAGGAATGATGTTCCTGATCGGGTTCCGCATCGCATCGAAGGTGACTGGGGCTTCATCTTTTTCTACGCTAACGACGTACGGGGTCTGAGAGGCGCAGATGACAGGTGGGTTCGAGGGAAGCGGGCGCGCCAGTGTGCTGAGGGCCGATGTGCTGGGAACATGGATTGTCCTAGATAACAGTTAGGTATAAGGCCGGGCTGTACCAAAGTTGCTGGGGAAAGAGCTACCTGGTCGTCTTCCCGGTGAACAGATCCCACTGCACAAGCTTATTATCACCGCCGATACTCCAGCCCTCCTGTCCAGGTCGGCTGGAGGTAAACTTGAAGTCTCTGATACCTTTCTCATGTCCGTTTGCAAGCGTTCCGACAATCTTGTCCTCCACGGGCGAGTACATGCGGATTTCGGAGGCACTGGTACCAATGGCAACAACTACGTCTCCCTGGTCGAACCCGTTGCCATTGACGTCGGAAGGTCTCTTTCTCTTCTTCTTGGACTGCTGATCGCGATCTTTCTTGGTGCTGGAGTAGTAACCCCAGTCTAGGGAAGTGACCGTCTCCTTAGGACCCAAGACATGCTCGCATTGTAACCGTCCGGTGTTCGTATCGTGGATGCGGAGATGCTGAGCATCGAGGCCTTGGATGACTGATGCAAAAAGCGCCAATTGGTATTCCGACGGGGCAAACGAAGCCTTCAGTATCGAAGACTTATTTCCGGTATATGTGAGGCCGGATGCCGCGGGCGACGCAGCGGAGGAAGTTTTCGTCGCGGGCGGGCGAGACGCTTTCTTGCCCATTTTGAACTGGCTGGCTGTATAGGCGGATGGGAGCAGATGCAAGAGAACGTGTCGCAAAACAAGCACGCAAAGGTAGCAAGAATCCTAGACCCGCTGCGGATAAAGAAGAGAACCTCTTGTGCTGAAAGCCAGTTGAGCTGCAAACCGTCGGCGTCGCTGGGCCGTTGATGCTGGAGGAAAAAAAAGTTCTGTAGAGATGCGCTTGGCCCGTTGCGGTCTAGTCGCCTGTGAACCTTAGTTCCGCTCCGGGCGTCTTATCTAATCCTCCGCGCGGGTTGCAGCACATAGTCAATAACTAAGCAGCCAGCGGCTGTCTCCCCTCTCAAAGGGCACAGAACTCTCTCCTCTTCCTTCGACGTCGATCCAACAGCGCCCTCTTTAGTCTCCCAATGCGACGATTTTCTTCACCTGTCTGTCTGTCTGTCTGTCTGACTGACTTGTTCTCCTCTGCTCACATACTACTCATACTTCACATGAATCAATGTTCCCTGCAGAGTGCTTCAAGTCCATTTGCTAGAATGGCTCTGTTCACCATAAGATTCACAGACGCCCGCTGGACAATATTCAGAAAGCTTGACCCCGCGTCCTCTTCTACAGTCAACTAACCACTGCTACAATTTTCTTTTGATTCCCAATCTCACTCGCTCCACATACAGCTTCTTTGGGTGGTGACAATGGGTTTGTCAAGCTTTTCTTTTCACACCAATTCCTCTTTCACATGATCACGCTCGCAACTATAATCTCATTCTTTGATGACTCTTTCCATGGATCCATCCAGCTTATCCCTCACAGAGGGGGGTTGGCACTCGGGTGCACTGGACCTTGTTAACTATACGAAGAATGACTCACACTTCATCTGGACATATCTTGCTACCTATGCAGGTATCCACGTCTTGATCCACAAAAAGTTAGGGGCTCTGGCTGAGACAAGACATATCCGAGATGATGGAGCACACATGGGGTAGTTTCTGATCGAGACCAACAGAACAAGGAGTGGCAGCAGGCGCCACCGTTACTCTACGGCTGCCTAGACGAGTCATCCAGTCAACCCAGCAATATTGTGAGCAAGGTAACTCATCAAACGCCAGTTGGAAATGCCGCAGCCACAGCAGCCGCCACTTTTACAGCTCTTATACGTGATACCTTTCACCGGTATGCGGGCCAGCTCGCGAAATGGTGTTGTCATTCGGAATCGGAATCGGAGCTTTGGCCCGGAGTGGTTGGTTACATCAGCAGGCACACCCAGCCTAGTCCGGATCCGATGCAAGGGAGGGTTCAGGGCCTAACCCTGGGGTTTCATCAGGTCTGGTGACCTCCACAGCCTGGCTCGGCGTCCAGCTCAACAGGCTTCACCCCGATACATGATGCACTTCTTATACCGCTTGAATGCCTGACAGATTTTTGGGTATGTCATATCTGACCTAACTCACCTTCAGTATCATCACGATGCATCTCGTCGATAAAATGGGATGATGGGGTTCTGTGCCGATCGTTATTCCTTCAAGGTTTGGAAGGTGTGGAATGCCTGGTTACATTTTCACCTGATGTTGTTGTCTTCACCACCACCTGAAGACTTTTTTTTTTTTTTTGCTCACACCTCTCTTGTTGTTTTCGATGTTTCCGACAAAGGGAACTTTTGGTACCCGGAACCTGGGTCCACCGTCCAGGGTTGGTTACAACCAATAACAACTCGTATCTCGTAGAACGCGTCATCCCTGGACCAATCAGCGGCTGCGGAATGGCTTGAACTAGAATAATTGGGACTAGCGTGGCCGATGGAGTTAGCGGCAGAGGACGGACGGGCGCAACGCAACCGTTCGTACTTAAGGATTCTAGCACCCCCTCCGACTTTCTCAGTCTCTGTTTCTGGAGCTGAGCTGAGAGCTGCTGCGCGCCGGTCACGCTTTCCTTATTACCCTGCCATTCACGCCCGCCCCCCGACCGCCCTTTGTGTCCTCGGCTGCCCCTGGACTGCGCTCCATCTCTCCTTCCTTCATAAACACGCTATTCACGCGTCATTCGCGTCGCGCGCTTGCTCGATCCCAGCCACAGCTACTGCAGCTGCTTATTTGGGTTCCATTTTTTATTTTTGGCCCGCCCCTTTCCCCTTTTTTTTTCTTCTAATATTATTAGCAACGACTCCATCGCGTTGCCGACAACACGGACTTTACTTCACTGTACCTTCCTCATCGCTTCTCCCACAGCCCCCTTTCAGTTCTTACTTCCAGGCATCAACACCTGGTTCTGGCCTCAGGCAGCAATCGCGGCTTGGCACGTGCAGATTGTGGATTGACGAGCATTTGAGCTCCAACTGACATTCTCCTTATCTCGTCTTCTCTCACCTGCAACTTTCCCCCTAGTCCCTTTCTTTTCATTGAATTCCGTCTGTTTCCATCTTCGGTCTGGCGACCCTTTTGCCTCCCGCTTAGTCACCGGTACTTGCCGCACCACGTGACTGCAGGCTATCTTCCGCCCGCCGCCCTCTTGGCAATATAAATATTCCTCCTTCCTGTCGCATTCTCCACCCCCCTCCGGCCCGCGCTAATCTTCCATCCTTTCTTGTATCTCTTGCAACTTCCGTGGCGTCGCATACCATCTGTGGCCCGCGCAAGACACCCGTCTGCCCTTGTGTGTCTTCTGTCATCTAATCAGCTGTTGTCGCTCGCCGATTACCGAAAATCCATACATTAGTCTGTGTTAGCGCAGAGAGAGTACCTATTCAGTTGATTTGTGTTACTGCCGCTCCCTAAACTTTCCGATTCCAGTGACCAGCTCCTGCGACCAGAATCGCTGCCTGTTAGATTCTTTTGTACCCCCGGTCCCGTCGGAGGACATAATCGAAAATTCAGCGACCTCAAATGGCGACGCCGCCTCCCGAGGCTCCCTCTGCGATCAAAGAGGAGAAGCCTCAATTGCCGCCGTCGCCCAATGGAGTTTCACCTGCTGATACTGGTCGCACAGGGTATGCTCCGTTATTTTCGCGTTTTGTGTCTACGAAGTCTGTTTACTGATGTCCTCTCAGAGTTCAAGATGCTGTAGCCAACGCCAAATCAGACGCGCCCGTCAACGGTGCAGAGAAGCCGACAGAGGAGACCAAGCCTGCCAAGGCAAACGGATCGACTGCCGAGTCTACCTCCAACACAAACGGCGTAGCCGCGACCGCCTCTCCGCCCAAGAGTCCATCCTTGCCGACCGCAGATACTTCCGCACAACCAGCCGTCGCGTCCGAAGAAGCCAAACCTTCAAATGTGGATTCAGCTGCGACTGGGGAGAAGAAGGAAACCGCTAGTGAAAAGACGTCTGCGGCTGCACAGGCTAGTGGCGACGGTGCGAGTGGCGCCGAGTCTAAAGATACACAGGCGCTTCAGGATGCATCAAAGCCATCAACTGATGCGCCGTCCGACGCCAAAGTGGAGAGCACTGCCCAGCCATCACAAGATTCTGCCGCAGTGAAAACCGAGCTGCCCCACCATCCTTCGAATGCGAAGCCTGAGAGCGCAATGCAGACCGACGCTGCTAGTACGGCGCCGTCGGTGCCGCCACTGCAGAGCGTGGATCAAGAGATGCGTGACGCGCCGGATGTTCCAGCGTCCCCGACCAAGGTTTCGAGGGAGCGCGAGCGTGATATTAGCGACGAGCCTGCCGCCAAGCGTACCAAGATCGGAGGGGAAGGTGCGGCGTCAGCCGAGTTCAAGGTGCCTGATTTGCCTACACCTAGCGAGGCGCGCTCGGAACGGGCTACAAATGGAGAAGCAACCATGACTAAGGTTCAGCACAAGTTCCTCTCCAAGTCAATCCAGAGCTTGAAGCGGATGCACGATTCTCGCTTCTACAGAGAGCCTGTGGATCCCATAAAGTTGAATGTCCCCCATTACCCGCAATTCATTAAACGGCCCATGGACCTTGGGACCATTGAGAAGAAGTTGAAAAACAACAATTATCGGACTGCACAGGCCGTCATTGATGATTTTAACCTTATGGTGCAGAATGCGCTGACATTCAACGGTCCCGACCACCTTGTCGCTCAAGAGGGGCAGAAGCTCAAGATCACCTTCGATAAGCAGATGGCTAATCTACCTCGAGCTGATGAGGTGGAGGAGAAGAAACCGAAGAAGTCTGTTGCTAAGCCCTCGACAGCAGTCCGTCGAGATCACCGTCCCGCTCCGAGTCCTAGCACGGCACGCGCCACGGGCGCTTCTCCCCAGGCGACAACCTTTGCTTTGGGTCCGGAAGGCCTTCCTTTGATCCGCCGCGATTCTGCTAATGCCGACGGGCGTCCGAAGCGTTCTATCCACCCTCCGAAGCGCGATCTCCCGTACTCCACGAAGCCGAAGAAGAAGAAGTATCAGTGGGAGCTGAGATTCTGCCAGGAGGTGCTGGATGAGCTGCACAAGCCGAAGCACTACACCTACGCGATGCCTTTCTACCACCCCGTTGATCCTGTTGCGCTCAACATCCCTACGTATCACAGTATCATTAAGAAGCCCATGGATTTCTCTACTGTGCAGAGCAAACTGAGGGCCGGCCAGTATGAGAATGCCAAGGAGTTCGAGCTAGATATGCGCCTCATCTTGAAGAACTGTTTCAAATTCAACATTCCGGGCGACCCGACCTACATGGCGGGCCAGCGGCTCGAGGAAGAATTTAACAAGAAGTGGGCTCAGAAGACACGCTATCTGGAGCAGCATGAACCGCATGTCGAGCATCACAGCGCAGAGTCTTCCGAAGAGGAGAGCGAGGAGGACGCTGAAGAAAGCGACTACGATGCCGAGAAGCTCAGCCTGCTGCAGAAGCAGATGGAAGAGATGACCCGCCAGATTGAAGCTATTACGAAGAAAAAGAAGACCCCCCCGGGAAGCAAAAAGCTCGGAAAGACCAAGCCGTCGAAGAAGGAGAGTAAGAAGCCTAGCACCATGGGGCTCGCTAAGAAGGAGAGCAAGAAGAGCACCACCAAGGTTTCAGCCAAACCGGAGAAACAGCACTGGGTCACCTACCACGAGAAGCAGATCATTTCCAATGGGATCAGTAGCCTTCCTGACAAGAAGATGCAGGAGGCGCTCAAGATCATCCAGACTAATGTCCCTGCCCTCAAGGTAAGCTATTTGTTCAATGTGAATTTACTTTCTATGCGAGGCCTAACACGTTCTGCAGGGTACCCAAGAGGCTGAAATCGAGCTCGACATTGATGAGCTTCCTAACGACGTTCTCCTTATGCTACTTCGGTTTGTCAAGAAGAACGCGCCGCATGTGGTAGAGGAGGATCCTGCCTCTGCGGCAGCGGCGAACGCGGCCGCCCCGAAGCCGAAGAAGAACAAGCCCATGAGCAAGTACGAGCAAGAAGCTCAGATCAACATGCTCGAAAGCAACTTGTCTCGGTTCCAAGGTGGTGGCGGAGGCCGTTCTCCAGACCCTATGCCCTCGGTCGAAGCCAACGAGAGCAGCGACGACTCTGAAGATGATTCGGAGGAGAGCGAGGAGGAGTAAATGATTGCTGCCTCTGGCAAGCTATGTTGTTCTTCTGTTTGCTGGGCCTGTGCCTCATGACTTCAGTAGTTAATTCCCACTGCGTGTTACGCCATGGTCTTTTTCTTCCACCGACTAATGAGCTTTGTTTATCTTCTATCACTCTACTTCTGTTCCTAGCGATTGTGTTTTCTTCTCATTTTCTTTTTTATTTTCCATGTTGGAGGACAGTGCGATCGGCGTTGAGCCATGCACTTGTACATAGGGTGCTATTTGGAGGATGTTTGACGACCAGCAGCGCAACCGGATGATTCCTTTGATGAGGTTGCGTTGGATCTCCTTTGAGCTGAGGGACGTCGAGTTTATCAGCAACGAGGATGGGGTCGGATGCGGAGAGAAGCATGCTGGGAAGGCTAGGTGCGTGTATGATTACGAAAGGAATGTGAAAACGGAAGCGAAAATTCAGCTTTGTATTATGATATGATATTAATTCATTATGGTACTTGTAGAGTGTAGACCATGCTCTAACCACATGTTATGGACTGTAGATCGCCAGGTCACGGGGATGAGGCGGTGGCCGCCCGATTGCTCGCCGCCTGTTGGTAGATGATGCACTTCCACCTGCGACAGCTTTACGCGTAGTCCCTGTCATAAACCATGATCCCGCCATGCGATCCGGTCATTCTTGACAACAACCCTCAATTCAAGAGACTTTATACCCACTTGACGACGACTCTCTTGAACCCCGATGGCTCCACTCGCGCCCAGAATGCGCAGCCTGCTAGACAGGCTGTTGTGGAAGTACGTCTCACCTCACCCCGTTACACCAAGTCGTGCTATCCACTTCTGAATGGTTCTCTGATGTTGGCATACTGTATAGGAAGTAAAAGCTTGCCGGATACGAGACGCGAAAAAGCAAATCAAGAAGCAAGCCTTGCGACGGCTGGCATTCGACCCCGACAGCGGAGTACCCGACGATGTTAGCAATACCAAACCCCTCAAGAGAGATGAATCAGACTAACGATTGATTCATTCAAGTCCCGAGACCCCATCGCCATCATAACCCTCTACCTCGAATCCTCCCCCGAATCACTCCAGCTTGACGACGACCCCAACGATGCAGCAACAGACGCGCAAATGCTCCTCGCGCCCGACATCAACGAATTCTACTCCAACCTCCCTCTCCTAGCCACTCCTTTATCGAATGTCCTCTCCACAACACTCAACGACATCCGCACAATTGCCAACGCAGGAACTTCTGACTCCGCAGGCTCCGGATCTTCGTCAGCACCCAGTGAACCGCCCCGAACAACTCGCGCACGCAATCGCCAGGCTATGCTTAGGTCCGTCGCGCAGGTGCCGCTCGCCTCACAGCTCGAGGATCGTATTTGCGCTTTGCGGCAGATACAGTTGACGGAGATTCCGGCAGCTCGAACCCGGATGGCTGCGACGGCGGCGGAGGTGCTCGCGACGCGGGCGGCCGTGCTGGAGCGCACGGTGATGCTCTTAGAGAGGGCGAAACATGGGGCGATCGCTCGGGCGGCGAAGGCGAAGGCGGACCATTTGGTTGCGGTAGCGCAGGGGATAGAGGGGAAGCTCAAGTATGTCTACATTGAAATTGGGTGGAGAACAGGGGCTAATGTGATATGACCTCAGTGTTACGAAACTGGATATACTCGCGACGATACATACACCGGAGGTGGTAGATGCGCTGCGACGGTATTATCAGCACCTTCAGAGTACGAGGGAACGACTGGAGGAGCGGCGTGCTATGGCATTGGAGGAGTTGAAGGATTACGAGAATAAAATTGATGGAGTCGGGCGCGGACCGATGAAGGAGCTTGCGCGACAGTATGGGTCGTTGATACAGGAAGTAGAGGATGTGAGGTTGGAGATTGAGCGATTGCATGTTTAAAATTGATTTATGATAGATACCCTGACACGAACATACACCAATAAATACATAATAACATTACCCTTATTTCTTGACTAGTAAGTACTACTTAAGTACTAGTATACAGCTAAACAGCGAACCAATCACCAACCCCGCAATCACCTGACCCCTCCCGCCAAAAGTTTTCTTTTTTGCCATCCACTCACTGATAACGATAGTAGCCCACTTTATTCTTATACTCAGGAACCACCCCCAACTTTCTATTTCTTAATCCCTTAGAAAACCAACCAGAACACCATATAATAAAAGGGATAAGAAAAAATGGCCGACGACTCCATCTCCATCTACGACGAGATCGAAATCGAAGACATGACCTTCGACCCGGTTCTCCAGATCTACCACTACCCGTGTCCGTGTGGCGACCGCTTCGAAATCGCCATTGATGATCTCCGTGACGGCGAGGATATTGGTGTTTGTCCCAGTTGTAGTTTGATGATTAGGGTGATTTTTGATGCGGTAATTTCTCCTCCTCTTCCTTCTTTCTCCTTTCCGTCTTGTTTTTCTCTTGAGAATTCGCTATGTATCTTGTAAATCATTGTGCTGATTATGCGGGGTTTGTGTGTAGGCCGATCTTCCCAAGGACGGTGATGATAAGAACGGGTCGGCGGCGGTTGCTGTTCAGGCCTAAATGTTGGGGGGTTTTCGCTTAGGGTTAAGCCTATTAAGTTGATTTGATTTTGGGATTCTCTACATTGGGTGGGATTGGATTGGATTGCTCGCGGACGATTGCTTTCCGATACCTCGAACAAACGACGAGTGTGCTTTGCGACGAAGTGTTCACTGCGAGATGTGTGTGTCGACTACGAGGACATCGCTCGATGGTGATATCGGTGGGTGATGTCATGGCTTGAGCAGCAGCCACTCGACATACTACATGCAGCTTGCTGCACTTGAGAGCGAGCGCAGGCGCAGAGCCGATGCCGCGCCGTATAACACGGGCGCATGCGACGCAAGATGTCTGTATCTGCGATAGATGCGCAGATTGGGAATGAGTCAACGACGGAAGAATGGATCAAGATACCACTTGGATATATACTATGTTATCTGCGCACAAGTACTCTACGCAACGAGTACCGCGCCGAACTGTATTATCTACTACCAGGCACTACAACACTAGATAACTAGTAGTCACTCACACACATCAATCCATATCCTACACTATATCTCAACCACCCGCCCGTAGACATTAAGTCAACCACCTCCCGGTGCGGAGAAAGGAAGCAGCAGCAGCAGCAGCAGCCTACTCCAGAACCTCACTGTACACATCCTTCGGCAAGTTGAGAGTCAACTCATGGTTCAACAAATCCGTGAGATTCGACCCATCCCGGAGATAGATCCACTGCCCGTTAATAAACGGCCTGGACTCCTGCTTCTCATGCATTTGATCACCCTCCACCACCCAATCGTACCGCTTGGGACCGGAAATCGGCGAGCTCAACCAGATCTGCTTGTTGGGGGGCTGCTTGTTCAGCACGTAGGTGCCTACCCCGGGGACGCTGATGTTCATGACGCCGGCCTGTAATTCATCATCCATCATTGTCAGTTGAAATGTTTTCTTCTTTTCGGTAACGTCACTCAGAATCAATATGGGGAACTGATGATAAACGAACGCTATACTCAGCCTCAATATCCGAACCCTCCTCCTGGACCTTCTCAATCTCATACTGCAGCACATCCAAGTAGTGTTCCGCGTGGTCATGGTACTGCGCGTCCGTCAACGGGGAAGGCTCGGTAACGTGGGTGGCTGCGCCGGCGACATTGCTGGATTCAGGATGCGGAGCTGGAGGGTCTGCAGAGTCGGGGAAGATGCCTTTACGGGGAGCTGAGGTGGCGTGGAAGCATCGACGGGGGAGCTGGGGTTGGGGTTGAGGTTGGAGCTGGAAAGGTGTTGCTGTTGCGAAGCGGGCACCGATGCGGAGGGAGGGACGGGCGACAGTTGCAGCGGTGGGGGAGAGGATTGCTCGGGGGAGACGGGAGTACATGGTTGGATTCATTGTGCTGAGTTGATTGATGTTGTGGTGGTGGTGGGAGAAGAAAGGGAAAAGAGGAAGAAGAAGAACAAGAACAAGAGAAGAAGTGATGGCATCACATCATCGAGTGCGGAGCGGAGCGGGCTGTCATTGGCTGTGGAGAGAGCTATACCTTTTAGTCTGTCAGCTTCATCATCCATCCATCTTCCTTCTTACTTCTTACATCCACTCTGCATTGCTTACTACCTCCTCCACTTTATGTGAGTCATTCGGGATTATCACTGAATATATCTCCTCAATGCGCCCCTGCAGGTCACTTAGACCCTGCATCGCAACTCATACAATACTACGACTACAATTCCACCCCCGACATCAGCTCCATCTGCAGCTCGATCTCCCACTCTCACTCCCTCGACTCTACCATAATCACAACCACAACCACCACAAAACCATGTCCAACTCACGACCACATCCCAATCAAAAGAAGGAAAAACGCCCTCCACTCACCCACTTCCTCTGCCTCCCCCTCATCAACGTCACCTCCCTCCCCCAACTCGAATCCTCCCTCGCAACATTCAAAGCCTCGATCCCAACTCTCCAACCTCAACACCAACATGAACATGGACATGGACACCACCAACATGAACCTCAACCCCAACCCCTCATCCCCCCCTCCGCCCACCGCCCAGTCGGCACCCTCCACCTCACCCTCGGCGTAATGAGCCTCCCGACCCCAGACCGTCTCTCCCAAGCAATCCGCTTCCTGCACTCCCTAGACCTAGAAGCCATGCTTCGCGATGCCCAATTCTCCTCACCACAAACACTACCATCAGAAACAACACCACCCACATCTCCATTCCTCATATCCCTCGAATCCCTACACGCCATTCCCCGCGCAAAAGCAGCAACCGTTCTGCATGCCGCGCCCGTGGATCCCACGAACCGTCTGTATCCATTTTGTGTCCGGTTGAGGGATAGGTTTCTCGAGGAGGGGTTTTTGGTGGGGGATAAGCCTGCGGAGAAGCCTGCGGAGGTGGCGGTGGATGTAGGTGGTGGTGAGGAGCAGCAGCAGCAGCAGCAGCAGCAGCAGCAGAGGCAGGTGGATTTGGCTGCTGGGGATAGTGCGGAGATGGCGCCTGCGCCTGTCAGGTCTAAGCCCAAGGTACGGCCATTGTTGCTGCACGCTACTATTGTGAATACTATTTATGCGAAGGGGAAAGGTGGTGGTCATGGTGGGAGAGGAGGTAGAGGTGGTGATGGCAGGGGTGATAAGAGGAAGAGGCAGTATACGTTTGATGCGAGGGAGATTCTTGCGAGGTATCGCGATTATACGCCTACTACTGGAGAGGGCGTGGAGAGTACTGGGACTGTTCCTAGTATGGGGGCCATTGAGAATGAGGGCTCTGGGTCAGGTTCAGGCTCAGAGGGTGAGAGTGGTCTTTCCAAACGGAAAGGCACGCCCTTTGTTTGGGCGAGGGATTTCCCTATCGAGTCGGTATGTATCTGCGAGATGGGCGCGAAGAAGCTCGTACCTGATCTGAATGGTAAGGACGAGGGTATGAATGCGCGGCTAGGGGAGAAGTATCGCGTCGTAGCGGAGAAGAGTCTGCTGTTCGGTTCGTGATATCTTAAATATCATGCTTGACTATAAGCAAACAGCAACAGCAGCAGCATGTACATACATAGTCTACAACCATAATGACGTGTAAAAAGTAACAACAGCAGGTAAAACGCCAAACACCACGCTGAAAGACACACAACCTCTCAACCACCAAAACAATAACCCCAACTACCTCACCTTACTCATCAACGTCTCCATCCCCCTCTCAACCGACAACTCGGCCGCCTTGGCCTTAACAGCACTGATCATACTGCGCTCGAAATCATCCCTCGTCCTAAGCACAGCCTCAACCCACGAGAGCTGCAAATCCCAATACTCGGTCTTGAAGTTCTCATACACAGCGACGAGAGCAGGTCCCTTCTCCGACTCCAACAATCTAACCAACCAATCCACAAGCCGCCACTTCATCTTAATCGTACCGGCAAACGAATCCGGATAATTCTGGAAGAAAGCAAACACCGTAAGGACATCATCCTTGAATTTATCCGTGTACGGGTCGGTATTATGACGGAACTTGACGCCCTTGTTGCGCACAGAAGATAGGTATTTGACGAGGAGCTCGTCGGAGAGTTCCTCGACCAGGATATCTGTAAGAGAGGGGTGCAGGACGGGGGAGTAATCGGCCATGTAGTCTTCGAAGGTTGAAGTGATCCGTTTGACAGCGAAATCGCCGTACCATTTCTGGGTGAAGAAGTCGGGGATAGTTGTGCGGAAGTCGACGGCGAAGATGAGTTCGACGAACTGGGTGAGACAGTGGGTGCTGAGGTCGACGTAGCCGTCGCGCAGGGCGTCGAGTTCCGGGATGGCTCGGGAGGCCATGTACTTGGGGTCGACGATGGTTTCGAAGTCGCGTTTGAAGCGGCTGAGGTAGCCCAGTTGGCCGGTTTCTTCGTTGTCGTCGATGCAGGCAATTTGGTCGTTGGCGACGGCGACGAGCCAGTCCTGGAGGAGTTGGAGGCCGTCGAGGAGGTCGCCGCCGGGGGCTTTGTATTTGGCGCATTCTTCGTCGATGAGGGTTTGCCAGGCCACTTGGCGGGCTTTGAGGACGCGGAACATGGCGTCGATGATGCCCTCGACGACGTCTGTGCGGGAGGAGGCGCCCGAGGCCATGATTTGCTCGTGTAGCATGCGCCACATGTCTGGAAGGGTTTTGGTGCGGAAGCAGCCTTCTGGGTTGGTGTCGAGGGAGTCGGGGATGCGTTCGACGAGTCCCTTGCGGTCGGTTTCGGTGATGCGGTCGGTCCAGTCTTCCACGGCGCGGATGATGATGTTTTGCCATTGGCGGATGAGTTCGGGTTCGCGGTCATCCAGGATGTTAGGCTTGAGGTCGGCTTGTTTCCAGCCGAGCTTGTTCATCTTCTTATAGTATTTCTCGGTCCAGTGGATGATGGCGAGGAGGTTGTCGGCGGGTAGTTCGGGGTCGTTGATCAGCCCGATGAAGAAGTCGTGCATCATCCGGTGGTAGATCTCCGTGTAGGTCTTGTAGATCTTCCATTTCTTCGGCATCAACGGCTGCATGCCTTGCTGCACGGTGTAGAGGTCGTTGAAGAACCAGCGGAAGTTCTTGTCGAGGTTGTCTGGCTCGGCCAGGAAGTCCTCCTTGGTGGCTTCGAACTGGTTCTGCGCGTAGAACTCAATAGCTTGCAGGAACTTCTCCTTGTATCCGCGAACCGTCTTCGGTCCTACATTCATCGACTTAAACCGGTCTGCCAGGTCCTGGTGATCCTTCTGCGCCTCCTGCAACGCCCGCACCGTCTGATCATTCTTCTCCTCGTTCATGACCACAACCGCCAGCCGGACCACCATCCCAGGGTTATCCGACTGCACTAACGGGATCAAGTTCATGCACGCCGTACCGAGGTGATCATCAAACCAATCAACCACACCATCCAAACCCTGGAAGTAATCTGCCAGAGTCTCCTCACTACTCGGATCTTGTGCCTTGCGTATCTGATCCATAGCCTCGTCTCTGAAGTCGCGCAGCTTCGAAATCTGCATATGAGCGCGCAGCAAGTTGGGCTGATTCTCTAAATCCTCATCATCCTCGCGCAGAAGATCCTCCACCACCGCCAGGTTCTCACTGAACTCCTCCAGCCCCTTCTTCATCGTCAACGTAGCCTCGAAGTTCCTCTGCACCTTGGCCAACTTGTCGATCTGCGAGAAATCCTCCACGCTCGTTTGCGACTCCGCGCATAGTTTATCGATGCCTTGTAGCTCGTCTTTCGTCTTCGAGACCTGTCGCTGACCTTCCGTGAGGGCGTTGATGCTGCGCTGCACGGTCTCCAGTTGGTCGCGCAGACCTTCCCGTAGCTGGGAGTCAACGGCCGCTTTCTTGCGCGAGTACTCGGCTTTCAGACCCATGATCTTGTCGAGGTCTTCGGGGTGGCGGAGGATGTCTTCAAGACGGGGCATGGCCACCGTTCCGTCGTCGTCTCGCGCCATGGTTTGTAGCTGTCGCAGTCTCGAAGTTCACGGTATAGTCGTTCAACGAGTCCGTATCGCCGCAAGCATAGATACAAAGCCGATAGGATACTATCACACCACCAACAAGTATAGTCCAATCAACCGACCGATGGTGGTTAGCTATAGTAACAGCTTGACCATAAGCTAGCAGCAACTATCCCCTCCTAAACGCGCAGCGCTCCGGGGTATATCTGCACGTCACAGGAACTATTAGCATGATAGCCTCCCAACATGATGGAAACAAGAGACAAACTCACCAATGGCTCACCGAGCCAAAGAATCTTCCAAAATGACAATCGTTACAAAGATACACAGCAATTAGGTAGCATAGCAAGCATACTAAGTAGTAAATGCCACCCGCATTTCCCGCCCGCCAACCCGCCAACCGGCAGAACGACACCCACCACGTGACTCCCCGCCCAGCTACGCTACCGCCATCGGGAAATTTGCGGAATCAACAGCAAAAGCATCCCAGCGAGCAGCATTCGCAAGCACAGAGAACAACTCCACATCCTTCAGACCAACAGTGTCATTGAGCGTCTACCCTACGATCCTCCGAATCCTCCCTACCAAGTACCTCCGAATCAAACATACAAATTCACAAACCGCCAAAATGAGCAGCTACTTCCGCGTCACGCTCATGCGCTCAGCAATCGGTCTCCCACGCCGCACCAACGACGTCCTAAAAGCCCTCGGCCTGAAGAAGCGCATGGCCACCGTCTTCCACCCCGTGTCGCCGTCTGTGGCGGGTCAAATCATGAAAGTCAAGGAATTGGTGCAGGTGCAGGAGGTCGACCGTCGACTCACGAAGCAAGAGGTGCATCTGGAGCGCAAGCCCGACCCGGGATACTACGTTGAGAAGACCTCGGGGGTGGAGTTTGAGGAGAATAGATTGGCTTGAGTGATATCCATCCCTGGGGGTGGATGTTGTGGTTCGCGATTCGGCTTTTTTTTGCGGAATGGTTTCTTTTCATTGATGGATTGATTGATTGATTGGTATGCGAATGGAGTCTGGGATTTCATATATTATTGTCGATTTTGTTGGATACGCCTGCTCATGTGGGTGGAAAGTGATGTGTACTATATGGGATTGAGGAAGTGGTTGAAATTCCACTTAGAGGAGGAGGTGAAGGGAAGTGAACTATTGCATGCATCCAGCGGCTTTTCTTTGATCAGATCATGTGTCTGAGTCCGGGTTCATCTTGCGCAACGATTTTGCATTGTACTATACTACACATATTATCATATGGAATGGGATCTACATCACCCTAAAAATTCAAGTCTTAACGTCTGTTTTATAACAATAATTCTCCAGACGAAGCAATACCCAACCTATGCACCATAACACCAATTGTCCGCTATTTGCAATTCCTAGACTTATACGCTTTTCAACCCATATGGACAATGCGGGCCTTTTTGAACAATCTAAGCTTTGTACAGGGTATCCAGGAAGCCCTCGGCCAGGCGGCTGACAATACTCTTGTCCGGCATGCTGCCGGCCACACCGTACAAGGCTGCAGTGTCTCCACGCTTAACAACGTATGCCTTGCCTTGCTGCCTTCTCTCTTCCGCCTTGGCCAACTCCGCCTCCACAGCTACGACCAGGTCGGTGGTAAGTGCATCCACAGCAGCAGCCGTGGGGACGGTGAACGCGACATGGATCGCCGGGGGCGATTGAAGCGCATTGAGATGCCAGCCCTTGGCAGAAAGGCTGTCCGCAATATCGTAAATATCAACGGCATCATTCTTGCTGTAGAACGCAACAACGCTGACCATGGGCTTTCCAACAATGTCCAAGCTCTTCGACAGAACCGAGTGCTCTTTGATGGAGGATTCGAACTTCTTGGCGGCGCCCATGATGTCCAAGCAGCTCTTGATGTAGCCAGACTCGCCAACACTCATCAAACTGGCCCAACATCCGGCAATCAGGGCACCAGGACGGGAACCCGCCACAGATGGGGATGCATAAACACCACCGGACCAATCTGGGTAGATGAAGTATTGGTAGCTGCGGTAGGCCTTGTTGCGATACAGGAGCACCGAGTTACCCTTGGGTGCAAATCCATACTTGTGCGTGTCCACACTGATGCTAGTCACTCCGGGAAGGCGGAAGTCGAAGCCACCTTCTTCTTCATAAGGCGACGCAAAGCCCGCCTTCTTCAGGAAGGCAACAACAAAGGAACCAAGGCAGCAATCAACATGCAGAGGGATCTTGTAAGACGTCGCGAGACGAGACAGAGCCGGGATGTCATCAACAATTCCGTGAGGGAAGTTGGGTGCCGAGCCAACAATCAAGACAGTGTTCGAGTTAATCAGGCGACGCACGGAGGGAATGTCCACCTTGTACTCGGGAGCCGGGCAGGGAACACGATGGAGCTTAATCTTGAAGTAGTTGCAGGCTTTGATGAAGGCAGCATGAGCGGTATCAGGGATGATCCTACAGGCGTGTCAGTAGATAAGCAGAGTATGTATAGGAGTAGCCACCCACATTTCCGGTTCCTTTACGCCACGCTCGAGGAAAGCCTTCTGGCGCGCACCCAAGCATGCCATGATGATCGACTCCGTACCGCCACTGGTAGTGACACCCGCGCCATCGGACGGGGCATTGAACAACGCCAGAACCTAATCCAAGTAAGCCATGTACTCGTCAATTTCCCGGAAAGTCATTACCATAGCTACGACTTCGGCTTCCATCTTCCGAACACCAGGGAACACATCAGGATGGATGGGGTTGGCAACACCAAACTGTCCGAACGCTTCTGCCTGTAGCTTCAACAAGTCCTGGCCACCGTGGTAGACAGCACCACTGACACGGCCATCTTCCCAGCGTGTATGTTCCATATTTGCCAGCTTGTCGAGCTCAGCGCGAATTTGTTCCGCGGTCCATCCTTCCTTGGGAAGATTCAAATACCGATTAACACCTGGACCAGACGCGACGAGTTTCGATTCGAGATTCTCAATAGCTGTGGAAACCTGCTTATCAACCTGGCCGCGGACGCCGGGGAATCGCAGAAAGATGGAATAGCAAAAGAGACGGACGGCAGCGTAGGCATTGCGGATGCTGCCGAAGATGCCATAACCGCGCAAAGAATAGAATGCCTTGCGAACGTAGCGAAGGATAAAGAGGACAAAAACGATATTTCGAAGACTAGTCGTCCGGTGATTAACACATTAGCACATAGCTCCAGGAAAACAAATGTCAGACGAGCGAGCGATCGTCCGCCGTTACGCGGGGATAATGTAAAGCTGCTCGGCCACTCACAAGTCCAGATGTGCCGCCGCCAGTTGGGTGCTGGGGGCCCTGCTGTAGCCCAGCAGTTTATTCTGCAGGGCGACGGGAAGTAAAGAAGATGCCATAGTTGTAGGCAATAAAAATAAAGCCGGGTCGGGGTAAGGGCACGACGACCTCCAGACTGAGGGAGAAGAAAGACTGGGGAAGCGAAGGAAGGTCGATGGATCGGATGATGCAGGAAACCGGAGCCGGGGGCGATAAGAGCGACTGACTGACCGCGGACGGGCAGTCGGGAAACTGCCTCGGTTCCCGCATGCGCTTCTCCTCATGACAATCTAGTCTAGTAGATTTGACACTCCACATGATCTCACATCTTCCCCCCTTGCTTCTATTACACCAATCATTTCCAATTACTCCTACTAGATATATAGATAGCAGACACATATTTATCTTTGATATATCCTGTATATTGTAGGATAGATGCATATGGCATCGAAATTCTGCGTATGTACACGGTCCCACGCGAGGACCAAGGGCTGTCCTAACACCGGCCCCCCTCCCTTTTTCCATCAGAGACAAGGAACAACTTTTGAAAACCCCGTGGAAATCAAAGAAACCATCCTGAGAACACATAAACATCCATTCATGAAACCAGCAAACGCAAAACAAGAACGTCCTCCGCCAAGGGAGCCGCTAAAAGAGTAAGGAAATGAAAAACATCGAAGCTCTAATAAAGATATAGACGTCTATCCCAGTCGGAATAAATGCATGATTAGAAGAAAAGCCAACGTCGGAGATCACTTTCGATCCCGTACTTAGGCAGAAGCCTGAGCGGCAAGCTCCTTCTCCTTGGCAGCGAACTGAGCCTGCTCGTCGGCCGTAAGGTCCAGGAGGGGCTTGTTCTCGCCCAGCTTGAGGTTGCGGTAGTAGGCACGGATGATACTGTCGGCATCATCGACAGCAATGGGGCGGATATCGGCCAGAGCCTTGATCTTGGCCGTGCACTCCTTGTACTGGTCATCGGTCATCTCGATCTTGAGCTGCTGGGCACGCGACTTGATGGCGTTCCAGCCGGTCAGACGAGAAGCGAAGTGGACATAACGAGACATGCCGAAGTCGGCGGGGTTGATGATCTCGTAGGTGCTGGGGTTGTTGAGGATGGCCTTGGCGTGGATACCGGCCTTGTGGGTGAAAGCGCAGAAACCGGTGATGTAGTTGTTGAAGGGGATGTTGACCTCAACGGCCTCGGCAACAAGGTCCTCGATATCCTTGAGCTTCTCCAACCTGTACTTGCCCTTGACGTACTCGGGGTCGGCAACCATCATGCGGGCCATGAGACCACCGAGGGGAGTGATACCGTTACGCTCACCGATACCAAGGACGGAGGTGTCGATGTGAGTGGCACCAGCCTCCAGGGCACAGTAAGCGTTGGCAATAGCACAACCAGTGTCGTTGTGGAAGTGGGTTTCGATGTCACAGCTGACAACACCTCTCAGGACACGGACAAGCTCGTAGACCTGACGGGGGGAAGCGCAGCCGACGGTATCGGCGATACCGACACGGTTAACACCGACCTTGTCGACGGCCGAGTAGATGGACAGGAGATCGACGAGGTCAGAGCGGAAAGAATCCTCACTGGAGAAACGGATCTCAATACCCTTGGACTTGACGAATTCGATGACTTCGATGGCGGTGTTCTTGATGTAGGTCATGTCCTTGCCGTGGGAGTGCTCACGGAGGTAAGAGGAGGTTCCAATAACAACATCGCTGTCCGAAATTATTAGCAGTCGAACATGGAATATACAGGACAATTAGCACTTACACTCCATCGACACCGGTCTCGACGGCAATGCGAGCATCGTCCATGTGGCAACGGATGTGGGTCAGGATCTGAATCGAATATTAGCCGGATGACGCACAACACGCGGTAGACAGGTGTAGCATACCTTAGCCTTCAGGCCAAGCTTGCAAATGGCCTCACAGTCCTTTCTCGACTGCTCGGAAGCGCAAGGGCTGGTGAGCTCAATCTAGAGTGGTGGTCAGTGCACGCTCTCTCCGGCATTGTGAAGATCCACCGGGGTATGACTCACGTAGTCAACACCGAACTCATCGAGGGCCTTGGCGATTTCAATCTTCTTCTCGGTGTCGAAGAAAGCGTTGGCGAACTGCTCACCCTCACGCAGGGTACTCTCGATGATCTGGAAGCGAGAGACGTTGCTCAGGAAGTCGGTGACACCGACGTTGTGGCCATAGGGGTTCCGAGAGACGGAGGGGTGGGGGTTCTGGCGAGTCTCGACGGCAGTGAAGCCGGGGTGTTCACCTGGAGGATATTGATTAGTATAGGCACTTGCGGTTCATCTGTTTAAAAGCTAAAAACATACCGTTGCGGCCATTGGCAGCGTTGGCCTGCCCATTGGGCTCGTGGTCTGCACCGGGGCACATTGTGAATGAATTGATGGTGGGGTAGCACGCAGATAGATCGGTAGTATATAGTTAAGACGGCAAATGGCTCTAGTGAGGTTGATGGTCAGTATTGAGCAACCAGCATTGAATGAGAGCAAAGCGAGATAGATATAGGGAGAAGACTAACAAGCGAGGCCAGCGAATGAGTCACAGATGGATTTAAATGAGAAGACGTCGTTGAGGGAGGCAGGGAAGAGTCATAGGTTGCCAGGAGAAAGAGAAAAGTGGGCGGAGATTAAAAAAAGCCGGGCGGTCAGCGCAATGATGATTCGCGGGCAATGCAACTGGAGACTCCTCGGCCGGTCCCTCCCTTCTGCTCTTCTTTCTGCGGCAACGACGAAATTTTCACCCTCTTTTTTCGCCTGCTGGAACTGGCTCACGCTCCCTCTTGTGGGGAACCTGGACCGTGAACTGCGCATCCGGCAGCCCCAATTGCTCAGCGTGAGGATCATTCCCCAGTCTCCAACAGGGTCAACCAATGTCCTGTAGTCATTTTCATTATTAAGGTCTACTCCATTCTTTGCCTACAGGCTGCCTTGGGGCGCTATTCATGGGCGGTGACGGCTACGTGGATTTGCCACTGAAAGAGTATGCCAGCGACAACGAATGTGCCATTCTTGGTACAGGTGGCTGAGGTGGAAGTGCATTTTGCTGGTAGATCTTCGTTTAGGCATCCTATCGCTGCTACCGAGGGCTTTTAGCCTTTTTCACATCCCAGTTAGAAGGGTTTGTGTCTAGGGTTCACCACCCCCTGCTAGTGAACACTCGGGTTTAGTTCAACCCGACATCGGCAGGGGGCATTTTTCAGATTGATGATAGCGTCTTCAATGGCTCGCGTCGAGATGCCAACGATTGATAATCGCCTTTCCACCTCGACCGTGGAACCATTATCATTGGTTGAATTCGATTAGCAGTCTCCAAGTGTCCTGGCAACCATATCTGAAAGGCTGCGTAACCTGAATCATAACGTTGACTAAGGTTGGAGAACGGCCCTCCTGAGGCCGTTGCTAGGACTTGTTACACTTTCTCCCCCCATTCAGGGCTTGAGTCACATCCAGTACGTCACCGGTGGCCGATACCGCCCCTCTATTTTCATTTCCTGGCTTGTTGTTGGTCGGCATGGATTACGTCAGGTATTTTCTCGCCCGATAGAGTAATATGCTGCTGATCCCTGCACCACTGTTTGCGTTAGTCCCTTTTCGGTATAGACTGCTCTGGCCAGGCCTTTATCCGTCTAATGCATTATTCCCAATTGAGGTGGTTGTAGTGCTAACTAATGCTGAAGGGAGTACTTATGCCTGCATTTATTGCAGAGCTACAGCGGCACTACTTTCAAGCATGCAATAGATGCAAGGACGTCCCTTTGTCATCTACATCGCATTCCAACGCCGCAGCCCAATAGCCTAGTACTCTGTATATGCGTGGCTATATTAAGAGTACTAAAAATAACAGCATGATAGACGCTATATTTGTTGCTGTCACTACATTTATGTTCATATTAGAACAGATTCTCTACTTCATGCATCCTGGGTTTGTTTTATTTTCACCGTGATCGTAGTCTACACAGACGACCTGTCAGCCTCTGAAATGGAGAAGCTGGCCAAATGAGTGGCCTCTAGTCCGTACAAAGGTGTTAAAGAATACTTGTTGGAAAGTGATTCGATCTATGACCCATCAATCTACTTTGTTAAATTTAGTCTTTCTATTGAATACAGGACTAAGAGGCATACTGTCTATTACTTTATAGTGGATTCGCCGCGAACAGGAACTTTACCCTTCGACCGTGTAGTGTATCTCTGCAGGCCCGTCTTCCTCATTTCACTACATTGGAAGCCCTGAGCCTACCCATGCTGATCAGTTCACAACGATGGACTTGAAATCCGTAACTTTCTTCAGTTACTCGAGTGTATTTACGAGAGATGGTTTTCCATCCAAAAGATGTCCAGAATGCAACTGAAGTATATTTTCATCAAAGTTCCATTGTATTTGAGTTTGCTGGCAGTAAGTATTATTACCACATGATAAGTTTTAATAACTATAAGAGGCTCTGACAGAGGTGACATATCCTGAAATAAACAACGTTCTACTCGTAGCATTACGAAACTACTCTAACGCGGAGGGCCCATGCGTTGAAAAAAAAATACCATCAGATGTCAAAGTACGGGCATATGAGGATGAAGTTGAGTCGTCAGACAGATCCCACGTAGTCATGAATCGTGTGAAAAGAGACATCAATGAATAAATAGATATCATTTGGAAAAGGCATGTTATGGAACCCGACGAAAACTCACCCTTCTGCTACAGGCCTGAGAACGAAGAGCCCGATAGGGATATCACCACATTGAACTCATGGCATATTCACTCGACTGTGAGATTGAAGCACTAACAACTTGCCATAAACTCACGGAAAGTAGGTTTGGTGCACCTTCAGGCTATCGTTCCACAATTTCTAAGGCAATAGGCAAAAGGAACAGAGAAATACCCTAGATATATACTACGAGCTTCTCTCCTACCTTGTGAGTCTTTCTAGCAAAAATAATCAGGGAAACATAAGGAGCTTACTGCTGAAATCATCATGGCCTTGTTAGAACTACTCAAGGCCCAGCAGGAGCATTATGGGGCGGAACAAGTAAAAACTGACTATTCCATTCAGTGGATTATATATATATTTCCATTATGTATCTAGACACGTTACGGACTGATGAAGAAAACATGACACCTGATCACCATAGCATCAATGGCAGTATACAGCAAAGCCGCGGGAGAAAGTTGTTCAAGATAAAAACTTAGACAAAAGATAGAGATAAAGGATGGCACCATTGGGAAAAGGAGACACTAGTGATAAATATCTATCTCTGCAAGGCAGAATTAACAAAGTATAGTCTTGGAAACGAAGATTTTAATCCCTCAAATATGGCTGTATGAAAAAGGACGAAGCCAAGCGTCAAATATATGCTTGTTACTATTGTATATTGCTTTGGATCATATAGACATTATAACTGGGAAGAACTCGTGTATCTATTGAACCAAGCATCTCTTCTCGGCAGGGAGACAAGTCTAGTGCCTTCAATTTCAGTGTTTGATGCTCATAACGGTTATAGGATCTATTTAGTAGTCAGGTGTAAAGACTACATCTGGTTTTAGAGATAGTTAGTAGGACTTCGGCAGATTCTGGAAGAAAAGGAAGTGAGATAACTTATCACAGTGCAAAAAGAGGCCATCTAAATTAGTGATAAAAGCATTGACAAACCCTTGCTTGAATGGCTCGGACGCCAGATATACACTGCTCTAATACGTCGCTAACAGAGCCCGGTTATGTTAGACTCTGGACAGGGTTCAGCATTGGAAGACTATCTGGGTCAATCACTGGAGTATATGCGAAGATAGCAGATAGCAAGTCAGGCTCTGTAAGACACTCCCTTGAGTTGTCGCATTATGCTCTTATCAACCTACATTTATTCTTTCTGGTTTATATACCTCAGTTAAAGTACTATAGCTGTGTTCAAGTGTCAAAAGTAGACATAATAGCCTTGAAGAGTTGCAGTCATTCTACTACGCAGGTAGAGTGGCTGCGTTGAATCCTCTCATGCATGAGCCGCTAGTACTGGTTCACACTTCCGTCCAGCACCTAGAACAACTGAAAAGAATCGACCGTTGATCTGATGTGCTGAAATTTGTCTTCATTTCTTGGGACTATAGGGGGATATCCCATGGTAAGGATTGAAAACAGCCTCAGGACTGACTATCGGTGGGTTTGTGATGCTTGACTTTGAGATGACTGGCACCTAATGTTGCATATATTCTGTCCAAACTGGGATCTTTTAGTACTATTCTATGAAGGAAGACAGGATGACTTAGGAGATGTGTACATGTCTCTTCAGAAACAGGTAGGCTTCTGTTGAGGATCTGATAGCCTTCCGTCTGTAGCAACTAACGCAGAACAATCAGGAATGGTGTCGAGTGTCAGTCAAATGAAATAAGTAGTCTTACACAGAGAAGCAGCACTAAATCAAAGGCAAAGCCAACAGAATGTTTCTTGCTGATCTTCATGACTCGGTCGAATCCATGTACACTATCGCGCCGGCTCAGGCGGCACATCTTCGATAGCAGAGATGTGCTTCAAGTCTAATACAGATATTCATTCCAATTAGAGGGCATATTAATTACTACATCTAGTAATACATCAGTGCCATTACATAACTTCTCATCTCGCACAATCAATGGATTTAAAGGCGTGTTTGCCATTCTTGCGAGGGCGTTAAACTAGCCCCCGCCCCTCTGAGACGAATTAGGGCTGATACAGATCCAACGGACGAATCCTTCGCCTGAGCTCTCTCAAGAGCTTTTATGTCGGTGAGGCGTCCTCTGAGGACCCGGCTTTGCTTGGTGGTCTGTCGTTCTAGTCGCAACCCACACTACTAGGACTTGTCCCACTATTTTCGGGCCAAAACTCTGCCATCTCAGTATCCGATAATTTGGGAACTATGATCATCCCTCCCAACGGGGCGGGAAGGATCCCAAAGACATCGTGCTCTAGACTAGTATGAACTAGATTGACTGCGGCATTGTACTGTCAGCCAAACGTGATTGTGGCGCTTGCTGGGAATAAATTGAGACTTCAGGTCTCTTTTCGGGTGGGATAGGGAGGAATTTCCTATAAGAGTAGACATACTTCGAGTTCTTATTGGTGCAGAAACTCTTTCTGAAGGTCAAGCTGATGTATTAATGATTAGTATAGACACAGTAAGACGTCTGTCATCCACCCAAAGTATGTAGATCCACTCCTTCGGTCATGCCACATGGGGTATCTGAGATGTTGACTATACATTCGTCATGCTTGCAAGCGGTCTGGAATCCTCTGTGCTTACTAGTTACCCAAGCGTCCCCACTTTTACTGCAGTCGATGAAACATATACTTGGGAAGTTTAGTGTCTTGGAAGCTTTGGGGTCTGTGTTTGTTGTGGCGACCTCTGGAGTCGTACGCTACTATGTTTTACCGGGTTCTATATTTAGCCGCCACGGTTCAGTTTCGCGGCCTGTCAGACTGTTCATATCAGAATACATCGGTTAAAGAAAGCTTTTATGAGAAGTGACTAGTGGATGCTACAGCCTCCACCGCAGGTGAGCAGAAAGATGGCCGCTTGGGTGACGGATCTTACCGACCTGAACAGGAAGGTTGTGAAGTTGTACTAGTAGATAACTTGACGAAGCCATTGTGATTCCCTAATCCAGCCTATCTAGAAATTATATGAGAGTATACTTTGCGGCACTTTCTACATGCGCGTAGTTGATTTCTACCTATTAGTAAATCTGGATCATCAGCAACCTTAAAAATGATAGACTGAATGTTCATCCGTAGTCTCCGTACCTACTGCTGTCAGTGACTTCGATTACTTTCATATTCGCAAAGTGCACAACATAGTATAGAAAGGCAATATGTATCTATTAGATGGAATAGTAATTAGGACATTACGTATCAGGACCGTGCGAATACAGTATTCGATTATCGCACATGGATCATATCCGGAATAGTATGTTACACAAAGGGACGTGTTGGTTACATAAGCAAACAGTGAACGAGACTCTATAGAAACAAAGGTTTCATTGCAAGCTCTTAGCCCACCTATCGCTGCTACAAGCCAAGGCGCTTGACGTCCAACGAGAACCAAAGAAGCCCAGGTGTTCCTCAAGGGGCGAAGAGCGCTCACAACTTTGGTTCAGACCGTGTTTATCCGAGCTATTATTACATCACAGGGTGCAACGACGGAAACCCAGCTGAGACAACAATCCAGGCATGGATACCGATGGCTGATACTTACTTTTAGAATCATTTGTCTGCGTCTTACTCTACAGGACGGTGTATCGGCCCGACCAAAGAGGTCTCAAGGGACAAGAGTTCACGGACATGAGCTCATCCCGTAGTGCGTTTAAAAAGACACAAGCAAGTAGTCAAGTACATGAATGACCTCGCTGACTGATAAGCTTAGGTTAATGAGATCTACAGACAATTCGCTGCCATACTCACAAGCACTTCCGTCCCGAGGGATCAAGGAATCATGCACGGATGCGGGCAGGAAACGCCTCGTAATCAGGTCAATTGCCGACACGCGAGGACAATCTGCACACGTGGCTGCTGACGAAGGCGAGGACCAGAGGGGACACGAAGATGAAGGAGAGTAGCAGAAGAAGGGGGATTCTGCTCCGTTGCCCCGGAACCCCGGACACTCCCACTTACCCACACGACACCGCGGAGCCGGGTACTCCCACCGCTTAGGGGTCATTGATAATGGGGTTATCCCACCGCTGGGCTGATTAAGGGGTTCTAGATGCTCCGATGCTCCTGCTGCGCCTACAGAGGGAGCATGGGATCGACCGGGCAATCCCACCTGCAGAAGAAAATGCCCGCGGGTGCTCCCACTGGCTGGGCTGTGTTTGCTTAACTCGGCCGGAACCTCCCACACCGAAGCTGACATCAGATCAAATGCCCACTCGGACTGTCCCACCGAGAATGGGAGTGGTCGATTGGATTGTTCGCCTAACTAGTGTGGATATGAGTGCTGCGTACTGAAGCTGACCTCAGATCGATCGGGGACGCCCACTGCTCCCAGTCCGGGTCCAAGACTTGGTGAAGAATATGTGCTTGGACCCCCGACAAAGCGAACGGCTAAAGAGGCTGGCACCAGATCCACCACCAGTGGGAGGAGTGGGATTAAAATCCTCCGGACGCTCCCATGCCTCAATCCTTCCCGGGGTTGGAAGAGGGATCCATTTTCCCATTGTGATTGCTCGCCATTCCTCGCAAAATCACATCCCTAAGTGATTATGGATCCCTCTTACTCACGACCCGACGCACTCCCAGGATTTTTTAGGGTGATCTTTCGTACAGTCTTTCTTAATGCGCGGCAGTAATTCTAGAACCATCCCAAAAATGGCTTAGGGAACATCAGGACTGGCGTTGCAACAAACTTAGCCATGATCACCGGCATCTACTGCTTGGACCGTATGCTGGGTACCTGAGAAGATCTTCAGCAGAATCCAGATTTTACATGGGAAAGAAAAAATAATGGGTAATTTTATGGGAATCTGGTACGATTCGGACTTGAGCTGTCCCCAAGCCAACTGTCGTTCTTGGCTACTATCCGTATCCATGGTAGTCTCACAACTAGTCGAACGTTCAAGAAAACCCGTCCGATCCTCGCGTACTGTCCGTCAAGAGACTTGGACTCCGTTCTATTGCCATGTGAGCACTAAAAACAACGGGGTGTTTCAATTCATCACCGAATCAAATTTCGCACCCAAAGAACCAATTTCGCCCCTTGCAAAAGTCCATGTTCCACGCAGCTGGGTGTCGTCAGATAGGTTAGCATCGGCCCAAGTTCGCTCCATACAGAAAGCAGTCAGACCCACGACAGACAGTAGCCATCCTGTCACTCACGTGGGAAATTACCAGGGGCCCTGCCATGCAAGGTGAGATCCCACGAGGATTCGCCTGGACGCCACGCGGAGAATTGAGGTGCTCTTCCTTTCTGCAGACCCACTGGTCTGAAGGATGGTGGGGGAGGGGACATCGTAAATGCTCTTGGCTCTACCGGCTGGACCCATGATGCCATCGTCGCCATGGTCGTTCGGCATTGTGATGGCGCCGCATGTCAAAGCTTCTCGCCTTCTCCCATGGGTCGTAAATTGGAGGCAGTCAATTCTACCTGTGCCCCTTCACTCAACAACCGGCTAATTTTCAATGCTCGGTTTCTTTCTTCGTATAACTAATCTGACCTGCAGTTGTACGTGTCTGGGCAGGCAGGTAGGCAGGCACTGAAATTAGTACCTCGTAGTAGTCGTTGCAATGGCGGCGAAAGTCAGAAGGAACAGCCCATCCGTCTATTCATCCAACCATCAGCCAATTACCCAACTAGTTACCCAATCGGCCAGTGAGCCTACTGCATGGTGTTAGCGACTTACGGTGCTTCAGCCTCCATCTGTCTATCTTTTGGCCCCAATCCCTCGACGCCATGCCAGAGCATATATAATACTATGGAACAAACCCGCAACCTCATCCGGAGAGAAGGTTCCATAGAATGTTGAACAACCGGATCCTAAACACTTGTCAAACTTCCCAGCAAGCCAACAAGATTGCACTGCATATGATGGCTGCAGCCACCAAAATCCGTAAGCCCAGCTGTTTTCTCTTGCTTGTGCTCTTCTGCTGTGCGCAACATCCCGGCCCTCATACTCACATTCCCTGCTTCCTATTTCAGCCGCACGAAGCCTCAATGGTTGCTGGACATGTCGTGTACGCCGGAAAAAATGTGATGAAACTCGCCCAGCATGCAGCCGATGCATTTCCTTGGATCTCGAGTGTCACGGATACGGTCCGAGGCCGTACTGGATGGACAATGGGGCCCTGCAGAATGAGCAAGCCTCGAAATTCCGGCAGATGGTTAGTCAAGCCCGGTCAAGGAAGAGAAGACAGAAGCTCCTTCTGTCCACTCGCCCAGCAGCCCGCGGTAAGGGTCTCCATCTACAGATGTCAAACAAAGGACCCGCACTAAGATCGATTACTCTAGTCTACCCTTTCTTTAATGTAGCCCAAGACGAAATGCAGGGTCTAATCCGAGACAGTAATGCGGCTGCCCCGAATAATAGTACGATGGTGTGCAGCACCATGCCTCTCAATCAGCTCCCCACACCTGGAGGCACCTCGGTCTTCCCTGAGGAAGACTATGCCACGTTCTCCAAGCAGTTGGAGTGGGCGCAGAACCCTTCGTCTCCCTCGTCGTCTGTAGAAGGACTCCTCACCCCAAACGTGCTGGAAATGCAAGAGCCCGGGATTGCATGGGGTGATATGGTGACATCGGACGATTTTGGCTTGGCCTTGAGTAAAACCGCCCTGTCGGATCTGGATGACTTTATGTGGAGCGCATCCCTGGATAGTCCCCACCTACCAAAAGACCCTACTTTGTCTCCTGATCCGACAAACCTGCAACCGACATCGGGAATGCATATGCTTGCAGCTGCAACCTGCGGACAGACCATCTCGTGGCCCATGACCCCTGTTGACCCAATTTCGGGAAGCAAGTCCGAGGATGAGTTACTGATGCACTACTTGGACCGGGTCTTCTACATCCAGTACCCGTTCTACCATACCCAAGACCGACAAGGAAGAGGTTGGCTTCTCTCACTTTTGCGGCGCATCGAGCCCGCATACTACGCCAGCCTGGCTCTTAGTGAGCTTGACTTGCTCTCGACGTCGCTTCCTCAAAGTGAGCTCCCGGCACGACTGACGCAGCTACGTACCAAAGATGGCTATTACGACCTAGCTCTCCAGGGAATGCAGTGCATCATGGCCGACTCGTTCAGCTGGAATGCACAGAGTCAATTTACGCACAATCTCGAGGGACTCGTTTCAATACTTCAGCTTCTGTATTGGGAGGTAAATGGTCCTTCCTGGTGATGCGGTACGATTGAAGATACTGACTTTGCTCATTTAGATACTTGCTGGCGGAACCAAGAACTGGCAATGGCTTCTTCGGCTGGCCGGCAATCTGATGCCTGCATTCATACAGATGCGGATGGCTTCTACAATCCATGACGCATCTGGCCAGATCTGCCCAAGTATACCACTGGACAATCAGAGCCCGTCCTCCGAAGACGACTGTACTGCGAAACTCCTCCTTGGCTCTTTTGTGTCGTTGGATATAATCGCTTCTGCTTCTACCCGGCGTGCTCCCTTCTTGGAAATTGATCATGTCCAGGTATTGGACCATTTTGGGATTTCCCTAGAAATTCTAATGGGGTGTCGGAACTCAATCATGGCCCTAATTTCGGAAGTTTCTGCGCTGGATCGATGGAAGAAAGAGGCCGAGGCGGCTCGTAAGCTCAGCATCATTGAATTAGCACAGCGTGGTGGGCAATTGGAGGAGCGACTACGACGGGAACTCGCCGATCTCGAGCAAGTGTCCACTCCAGGGTCACTATCAGCACGGGGTTCCTCTGCCACCCCAGGTGGTTCCCGGGCTCACCCCAGCATTAACAAGGCGTTTGGGCTCGGAGCCATCGCCTATCTCCACGTTGTGCTCTCCGGGGCTCACCCCGAGCTGCCGGAGATTGCGCAAACTGTTTCCGAAGCCATTAATGTGTTCCAGATGCTTCGCGATCAGCGACTCCTGTCGAGTGTGGTGTGGCCTTTTTGCATCGTAGGCTGCTTAGCGCAGCCCGATCAACGGCCTTCATTCCGGGAGCTCTTCACCACGTCGGAGGCCACAGTGGGAACACTGGCAGAGGCGTCTCGAGTAATGGAGGAGTGTTGGCAGGCAAGGAAAAGTCGCACATCAGATTGCGATTGGGTTTCGGTGATAAATGAGCGCGGATATTATGTGCTGCTTCGATAGAGCGAAAAGTACCATACCCACATAGAGAGATGCGATTATGAGTCACGATAGAATAATAATCATAATAATGAAACAGAATTACATTTCCCCAGAAGTCTCAAAACAGTGCAAGCCCCTAGACTGAGAGGACCTCCGAGGGATTATGTAGAGTAGATGCTGCAATTATTGGCCAACAATCTCCTTCTCCTTGAACCACTATGTTCATTGTTAGCTATGAATTCCTCCCACTATGCTTAACAATCACCCGGAGCTATACACCCCAGACATCTCTGCAGCATCTATTAGGAATAAAGTGAGGGATGATCCGACCATCGATCTCTTTCTCTATTTTCCCCTTCCCAACCTCACGTAATTGATTGGTGAGATGCTGTTGGTGGGCGCCGGCGGTAGAGCTAAAAGCTGCAGGAATCACGACTTGGGCGCCGTGACTAATATCGGGCGGCATTATTGCCTCCAAATCAACTCCATTACGAACTAAAAGCAAGCTAAAAATCTATCCCACGGGGCTAGAATAAGCTGCAGCCCGCTTAGGAATGAGGGTGTCTGATTACTCCGACCCTGCAGGCCAGTGGGAGAGACCGTGGGCCTGACTGAATCTTGGTGAGAAATTAAGGGCTGGTGGGAGGCCCCGGCCCTAAAGGATTGCAAAGGATTGGAGGTTCTGGCTGGTGGGAGAGTCCGGGCTGCTGCTAGGGATTATCTTTCTTTTATATACCCTGATGGACTGTTATTCTTTCGAAAATGATTTTGAAGAGTGATGAGTACAGTGGTTCCTTAGACAAGTGTTTTTGTTGACCCTTTTACCTTCTTCTGTCCCTCCCAATGGCTGTCGACGCCACGATGAACCACCCTTCTTTGGAAATGGAAGAGGGCCAACTCTCTGAAAAATCCGCTGCTTCCAAATTGGATTCGGAGGATCAGCAGATAGATGCTCCTAAGGAAGATGAAGCTCCCCCGCGCGACATTACAGGCTGGAAATGGGCCATTGTCGTGGCGGCCATCTACAGTTCGCAGTTCCTCTTCGCCCTGGACAACACTATCGTCGCCAACGTCCAACCCACTATCGTCGAGGACTTCAACGCCGTCTCCAAGCTGTCATGGATCAGTGTAGCTTTCCTGATCGGCGCTGCTTCGACCAATCTCGTCTGGGGTAAGATCTTTGCCCAGTTCAACGCCAAATGGACCTACATCATCTGCATCGCCATCTTTGAAATCGGGTCCGCCGTCTGTGGCTCCGCACCCACCATGAATGCCTTCATTGTCGGTCGTGCCATCTGCGGCTTCTCCGGTGCTGGCATGTATGTCGGTCTGATGACCATGCTGGCCGTGACCACCTCCATACAAGAGCGTCCTACGTATGTCGGTGGCGCCGGTTTTACC